TTTGTCCTTCTATCAACTACAAATAAGAGGATCTTTTTATTTAGAGGGGGCTAACTTTAGTGGGCCTCTACTCTCTTGACCTCTTTCACGTAAAGAGAACCCTCTCTCCTTCTCAATGTAATAAATATTTTTAGTAAATAAAATAGATAACAAGAGCCTGTCCTTATGGGGCAAGACTTGTTGTTTTCTCGCTCTCTCTTTCTCTCCCTCTCCCTCTCCCTCTCCCTCGATCAAATATGTTTTATTCCATAAGTGTTATATATCAATCAAATTTGAATTCAACAACCTAGAAGGTATGATGGACATGAATCATAACATCAACAAGAATAGGAAAAACACTGAGAAGAAACTCTTACCAAAGAGCGTAAAATGGGAACTTCCAAATGAGCAGATTCAAGAGCCTAAAAATCTATTTTTCGTTGTTTTCCCAGAGGCTTCGGCTCGGAGGCGGAAAGCACATTTTGAAATGAACTACTCACGGTTTCACTACTCCATTCGAGAACCACTTTCATTTTTCTCCCTCTTCATATATTCACATGATTTCATTACGCAATCCAATGAAAACAGAGGTGTGTGCAAAAATTGGGAACATGTTATCCTCTTCCAGATCTAGAGACCTCACTGGCCAACCACCTCAGTGTTCTGGCCATCTCACCATTTGGCAGCTTCTCTCTCTATCACGCGGGAGCCAGTCGCAAGGAAGCCTCCCGCACCGGGTGCTTCTTGCTCTGTCGTATGAAAGTCTCACGATTCGGTGGCCTCGCCACTCGATCGTCTCATCATATGGCCGCTTCTCTCTCTGTTGGGTGGGAGCCAGTTACACCGAAGCCTCCCACACCGGTTGCTTCTCGCTCTGTCATGAGGAAGTATTACCATATGAAGCCTCGCTGGTAGGGCGTCTCGCTGCTCCTGCCATCTCTCAATCTAGTTGTTTCTCTCTCTATCACATGTTAGACAATCTTATGAAAGCCTCCCACATCGATAGCTTTTCGCTTTATCGCACGGAAGTCTCACCATCCAGCCACCTCTCTTTGTCACAAACAAACCTAACCACACTGGTCATTCCCCCATGCCTTTGAGTTTCTAGATATGGAAGGATCGGGTGATTCATTGAATGATACATGTATTAGTAACTTTTATTTTAGAGTCTGAAATTGTAGCTGCGAACTTTCTTATATTCATTATGTTAAAACAATTCAATAACTACTCATTATGTGCAGGAATTTAAGGTAATTATTTCTTCAATTTTGTTTTATACATCTAATCCTTGATACACCATCACTCAGGGAACTCATATCCAAGTAGAAAAATTGACTGTGACGCCAAGAACGTCTAATTGATTAAAAGCATACAAAAATGACCGACAATGTCACTTCTTTCCATACATAAAAACTTACATAAAGTTTCCTTATAAAAGGTTTCCTTATACAAAACTTCTTTAAAAAATTTTCTATAATTTACAAATAAAAAAAAGTGTACTCAAAGTTACAGTAAAACCGATAATCAAGCCAAGCTAGTCGACCGCCAACACCAGCCAAAGAGCCGATTTAGATAAAAAATTTTCGAAGCCTGCAAAAAAGCTCAAAAGATGTCAGAAAGGAGCGCAAAAAGAATCTTCATAAGAAATATCATCAGTGATTCATAAGATCATATATTTTGCTTTAAAAATTTTCTTATACTTATCGCAGCAATCGATATGAAGGAGCAAGAAAATTGATGACCTTAATATAAATATACCCATAAATGGTATGCATGAATCTTGAGACGATCTAACGGTCCAGATAAAAAAAAAACAGATGATGAAAGTTATAAGGCATCATCAATACGACCCAGCCTGGACGACCGACTGAAGGCTAACTCCATTAACTGACGACTTCCCAAGCTATATCCTCTTGCGACCGAAAATACCAAAAAGTCTTGCACTACCCTCTTTTTTAAATAGGTGTAATATTATATACTTATTTTTTTCTCATCATATTACCTATAAATAGGATGTTCACTTTTATTTAGAAGGGGACTGTTTTTCTGGGAACTCTTCTCTCTTGACCTCTCTCAGAAAGGGAGAACTCTTTCACCCTCTCAATATAACCACTATTTTTTAGTAAATAAAATGGGTCACAAGAGTCCGGGAAAACCATTTTTTTGGAAAAATTATTACATCAGTACTCCACATGCAGAGTTGTTTGCGGAGTCCAATCTCGCGCTGACACATGAAATTTTTGGCCTACCTACAAAAAAAATAAATAAAAATGAAAATGTGTGACCCAGCCCGACCGATGCTATATAGGAATATTCCATCGCATAAGAATATTCTCTCGCGTTATTCTGAATATTTTCCGCATTATTCATGTGCTATTTGTGTGTTATTGAGGGTTTAAAAATATTCCACCCGCGTTATTTTGAATATTTTTTGTGTTATTCATGTGTTATTGGTGTTTTATTGAGGATTTAGGAATATTCCCTCGTGTTATTAATGTGTTATTTAATGTGTTATTCAATCTGTGTTATAGGAATAATCTCTTCAGATATTCTGAATATTTTCAACATTATGCATGTGTTATCGATGTGTTATTCATTTGTTATTTGTGTGTTATTTAGGGTTAGAAAAACTCCGTGTTATAAAAATATTCCCTCGCGTTATTATGAATATTTTCCGCTTTATTCATGTGTCATTTAATGTGTTATTAAGGGTTTAGGAATATTTCGTGTTATATGAATATTCTCTCGCGTTATTATGAATATTTTTCGCTTTATTGATGTGTTATTCATGTGTTATTCAAAATAACGCGATAAAATATTCTTATAACATGACAACAAGGATAAATAACACAAAAAATATTTGCTTAAACTTTGTAACGCATCGGTTCGGCGGGGGAGGGTGGGGTCGTGAGTTTTTTTTTTTTTTTCATTTTTTATGTAAGTGAGACGGTCTTCCACGTGTCAGCGCCAGATTGAACTCCGCAAGCACACTGCATGCGAAGTCCTGATGTAATAATTTTTCCCATTTTGCCCCTAGGCTGCAAGTCTTGATGCTCTCCCTCACTCTCTCTCCCTCCCTTTCGATCGAGTATGATCTACTCATTTGGATATACACAACAAATTTAGATTCAACAAATTTCATTTGCAATATTCAAATTAATCTTTTGTACTATACAAGGTCCCAAGTTTTATTAATTTTTCTATAATTTTCACATAAATTATTTAAATATCTCTTATGAATTGCTATCACAAATATGCACGCGTGAGATTTTCCAAATAAAAGCTCTATTTTTGCAATTGCAAATAATCCACAATGACATTAAGATATTGATTTATAAACATTAACATCGCTTTGTCTGGTAAATAAAAATCTCCTTTTACTATATTTAAATATATTTTTGTATTTATCATAAAAAAACATTTATAAAAGTAACATCTAAACTTTAAAAGTTTAGGTTGAGTTTATGAAAGTAGTTATGCTTTTTAAGTTTGAGATTCACAAATACTGAAGTGTGAAAACGAGCCTGTTTCCCAAAATGACCGAGTTGTCAATCACCAAATAGGTCCAACCGAGCCCATCTTCTACGATATTTTTTTTGTCGTACCGCTTTACTGAAGTGATCAGATCGCTCCTGATCATCCACGCTGGCCTGATCCAACCATAAAACAATTTTCAAGTTTAAATTTGTTGCCCGAGATAAATGATGCCATCACATCGCCGAGATAAAAGGGGAACAAGCATCCTGTTGAGGTGGGCTGGCTCTTGGCCTTTCGGTCTCTCTTCTCTCTCTCTCTCTTCCAACAGAACTTGCGCATTCTTCTAAAAAAAGGGAAGAAATGGGGAATTCATTAAGCTCATTCTCAGTTTTTCTCCTGCCTTCCTCCCGATACAGAAGTCATTCAGGATCGTATAACGGTTACATCCCAAAAGGATTCAACATCACGAAAGGTGTTGTGAGCTTGAAATTCATCCGACCCCTCAGCGTTTCTCCTGCCTTCCTCCCAATAAAGCAGTCATTTAAGATCTTTTAAGAGATTATGAGGAATCACGGATAATACAAGATCTTACATCTCAAAAGGATTCAACAACTCCATTATAAATAGAAAAGATCAATTTTATAATATGTATTATTGTAACATTTACAGTCTTTTCAGTTTACTCATAAAAATGTATTACATCCCTTACAAAATAGTTTCATAAATTTATGTTTAACGAGATGAATTTCATATGAAGTGTAGAATTATAATGCATTTGAAATACATTCTTTAGTTCATCTTCAATATATTTTGAATTCACTTGATTTGATGAATGTCAAATGTATCATTTTGTATAAAGTAAAGCTTGTCACTCGCCATTGTTTTAAGCCAACTGTTGGCCGCCGTCAACATAGTTGTCTATTACCGTCTAATTGTCTCTGATCTTGCTCGTATCAACACAAGCTAAAACTTTTTTACCTGCTATCATTGTCTGTCTTCAACCAGAATTACGATTTGTCTATCCCTTGACACTCGTCAATCATCTGACTGTCATTCTAACTCTTTGTCGTCGATTGTCACCAACATTACTCCAAACCCTAAACACTTAAAATAAAAAAGTTTATCAATATTTTAAATATAATACATTATATATAAATATATATTGGGCCGGGCTGGGCGGGACAAGGCCCGATAAATCTGAAGCCGCGTCAGTCCGTAGTACAACGTGGACACGCATTCGTGTCTCAGCTCACGTGCTCTTGCACCGGCTTTGTCTCATCTCTACCCCCATATATAATCCCTTCCATTTCCCCACTTCCGCAACGCAAACTTCTGTACAAATCCAATCCCCCCCATACCAACTAATCCGTCTTCTTCCTCTCCCCGATTAAATCCATTAATCGCAACCTCGGTGCTCGAAGCCATCGGATTTCCATTAGATGGGTCCGAGCTTCAGCGACACCTCCGGCGCCTTCAGCGAATGCAACAGCGATCGTTCCGGTGAGTTCTCATCCCCCGGATCCCCTATCTCCGGCGGGTCCGATCCGCTCTCCACCGTCTTCTCATTTCTTGCGCCGCCGATAACTCCGATGAGGTGATCAATGCCCTAATAGCCGATCTCGACTCCTCCTCCGCCTCAATCGATCAACAGCGCCGCGCAGCCATGGAACTCCGCCTCCTCGCCAAGCACAACCCCGATAACCGTCTCAAGATCGTACGCGCAGGTGCGGTCGGCCCTCTCGTTTCCCTCATCTCCCATCCCGACCCCCTCCTTCAAGAAAACGGCGTCACCGCAATCCTCAATCTCTCCCTCTGCGACGAGAACAAAGATCTGATCGCCGCATCCGGCGCCATTAGACCTCTCATACACGCCTTGAGGGTCGGCACCCCCGCCGCGCGTGAGAACGCCGCGTGCGCCCTACTTCGTCTTTCACAGATCGAGGAGCATAAGGTCACAATCGGTCGATACGGCGCCATCCCGCATCTCGTGAATCTGCTCCAGACCGGCACACCCCGCGGGAAGAAGGACGCCTCCACTGCTCTTTACTCCCTCTGCTCCACTAAAGAAAACAAGATCCGAGCCGTCAAGGCGGGGATCGTTCGTCCTCTTCTCGATCTGATGGCTGATTCGGAGTATGGTATGGTCGATAAGGCCGCGTACGTTCTCCATGCCGTCGTCGGCGTGCCGGAGGGTTTGACCGCCGCTGTTCGGGAAGACGGCATCCCCGTTCTCGTTGAAGTTGTGGAGATCGGAACCCCGAGGCAGAAAGAGATCGCTGCTTCAACACTCATTCTGATCTGCGAGGAGAGCACTCACTACTGCTCAATGGTGGTTCGAGAAGGCGCCATTCCGCCGCTCGTCGCCATGTCTCAGTCCGGCAGCTCACGCGCCAAGCAGAAGGTCGGCCGTCTCGCAACTCTTTTAACGCCGTTAAGTTTAGCGTTTGTTATTAACTATATGATGTTAGTTTAAATGCAGGCGGAGGCGCTTATTGATCTGTTACGGCAGCAGAGGGTCGGGTGCAGCGGGTAGACGTTGAGGACACGTGTCGGATATTGAAGCCATTTGCGAGTCTGCGTTGATATCATGATAGGCTGCCGCGTGGGCTGTGTAGATGTTCGATCGCCCCCCCCAAGTGAGTGTACATTTCTGTAGAGCTATTGGCCGCTTAATTGAAGTTTTAGCGTTCTGTTTTCTTTCTTTTTTTTTTCAAAAAAAGGTTTTACAAGATATTTTTTTCTTCTGTGGAATTGTGGTTTTGGAAAAGATCCTTTTTTTTTTTTAATTATTAGAACTGTGTAGTGGGGAAGGTAGATGGGAAGAAGGGGACAGGGAATCGAATCTGTGGGCTCTACAGCCCTTTTTTATGATAAAAAAAGTTGTTTTTTTTTTTTCTTCAGGATTTAATTTTGAGATATGTTAAATTTATGAGGCTGTACATCTAAAAAATTAAGGTTTTTATTTAATTTTCTTTAAACAAATCTTAACATATAAGAGGATTAAAATTTGAAGTTTTCATTTTTTTTAAAAAAAATCTGGTTCATTGGATCTATTTTGAGATTGGATTTCAGTGAATTTTAAGCCCATATTGGTAAAATTTACTTGAGAATGTTTTGATTTAAGATAATTTTGAATGATTTTTATTATATTTATATTGTTTTTTTCTCAAAGTAATTCAATGGTTGTGGATCCATTTTGATTAAAATTGATTTTTTTTAATTTGTTTTTATTATTTTTTTGAGAAGTGGGATTCTTATTGGAAAACATCTTAATGAGAATATTTTAATTCAAATGGTGGTTTTAAAATTTTGATTCATGTTATGATAAAATAAATTTTAGTTGATTGATTATTTATATGTCCTATTTTAAAGTACTTTTTTTTTTGTTTTAAAATTAATTGTATTTCAATTTTGATCAACATCTTACCAAAAATTTTGTTCAAGATCATGGGTTTGTGGTAATGTAGGCAATAAAAAAAATACTCAAATCTTAAAAAAAATGTGAATATTTTAAGAAAACTAATATTTACTCCGGTCCGAGGCCGCATCGAGTCGAACGTGAAAATTTGGTTATAGCAATGAAGCTCAACGTCTGAGCCGCAACAGAAGAGCCCACTCCTAATTTGGATGAGTAGCAATTCAAATGAAGTATACGAGGAAAAACCGAAAGAAAGAAAGGGAGCAGGGGGGGACTTCGATCACTCGAAATGACCTGCAAATGAAAACGCTGCTTTCAATTACAATTTTTTGAGAAGGCAAACAAAATTAAATTTTGTAAAAAATTAAGGTGCAACATTGGACCGCCGCCCCAAGCCCATCCCTAACCTTGGGTCTTTGCCGAGTTGAGCCCTCTTCAAACGGGGCCCAATAACTTGACTGACCTATTACGTTTCAGACTTTAATTAATATTAAGTTCACACTAATAATTTTAACTTTTTCCTTACTTTATCTTGCCTTCTAGATGATTTAACAAAGTAATATTTTAATCTTCTTTTAATATTAAATAAAAGTAAATTAGCTATTTTAATTAATGCTTAATCCAATTTGTTAATTTATATTCTCCACGCTTTATAAAACAGCATTAAATTAAAGAATAATTAATCAAATATTGCTAAAGTAGTTGAAAATAATTCTAAATTTAAAATAAGGAATATTTTAAGAAAATATTGCTTTTAAAAAAAAAAATAATTAATTTGGATTTTGTTAAGCAATTATTATCAGTCTTTTTCTCCGCGCTCCATTTCACATTTTAATATATAATTTAATTTATTACGGCATTGATCGATGTTTTGTATGAACTCAAATAAGTTGAATAATTTAGATTAAAATAAAAACTCTTTCCAGCATAGAAACTGACGTGTGCTCCAGGGAAAATTATTATTTGAGACTCACTTGACCGCACGTCCAGACAATGATTTGTTAGTGGCCCTGCTGTCGTGAATCACGGACAACCCATTCGTCCTGATGTACGTTCGTCCGGATGTACGATCAGTCGCACGTGATAGTTTCTAATGCTCAAGAGCCACTACAATCTCTCTCTCTGGATGAGAGAAAAACATATAAAGAGATGTGAGAATTCATATATTTTTTTATGTATGGATTTAACTATTTATATTACATTTACTGCTCCTCTATTCAGAAAGGGCTATGAATAGTGCGAAATGACAATTACACTCCTGGTCTATTCTTAATATTTTGATCCCCAACCTCTTGTCGACAGACCTTTAACTGAGTGGTCACTGAGCCGGCTGACCTCTGGTTCGATCGGTCATAGGATAAGTTTAGACTTTTTCGACGGATTGATTGATATCTGCATCTTGTTCGCCCTAAACCCTTATCTACATATCAAACATCAAAACCTTTATATTGGAGTGCATAGCCCTAAAATCTTAAATATTACTATAACTTATTTTATAAAATGAGATGCACATTTTCATGTATAAATTTACTAAAATTTTATAAATAAAAATATAAAAATTAACTTGTTTAGATATGCAAACACACATATTTTAGAAATGACAAAAAAAAATCAAAACTCGCTCGAACTTGTTCAAAAACATTGTATGTTTTATATTAAACGAGTAAAGTGTCAAAACGCTATTTATATTGGTTTTTATAATCCCAATTTATAGAAGTTTCAAAATAGTCTTCAACTATTTTAAATTTGCGCACTAATAGATCCCCAAAAGAACTATTTTAACCCCAATTTAAAAAGTATAGGAACTATTTCTATATTTATTTAAATAATTTTGGTATAAATAGTCAGGAACTATTTTGACACATTATTTTGTAACAAATAGAAAATTTTGATCAAATTTTGATTAATTTGATCATTATAATAAAAGAGTTAGATTAATCAAATTTCATTCACCTACACATTTATTAATTAATTAATTTATTAATCTTTATTACCTCATGTTTATGTAAGACCTTATAGAGTTATAATATTTGAAGAATTAAGGAATAAAATTCACCTTTTCGTAATAATTATGGATAAGCATCCTCCAAAAGTTGAAGCCTACTTGCGAACAACTAAAGTACCCAACTAATCATATCATTATCACCCGTTATTTGCTAAAATCATCCCATTCAAGTGCAATAATCACGTTGTTTATCCTCTTAATTATTAATTATAACACTAATTACCTCCATCAACCTCTTTGAAAATTTGATCTACTTTTTTGCAGAAGAAACTGATTGTGAGGGCAAATCTATAATCGTATAATCGTATATTGCAAAAAAAAAACTTATTTCATATATATATATATATATATATAATTTTAGTAGGTTGCAGCATTATTATGATGAGAAGTATATTTAAGAACACCCAAACATATAATGGAAAGGTAGTATGAGAAGTATATTAAGAACATCTAAGGAAGGAGCATTTTGGTCATTTAGGAATAATTTTTCTATCTGATCGAATGATCTATATTGATCTCATGATCAAATGAAGATTATTTAATGATTTGAGTGATTTAATGACCTTCGAATTGAGTGATTTTTGTCTCGTTGGATTCCTCTCGTTGAGATGCTCAATTTTACTATAAATAACTCAAATTTGGAATTCAATTGATTATTCAATAGATGATACAAAACATCTAAAAATGCTTTAAAAGTCTGATCTGGGCTTGATTGGACTCGGATAAATTCAATTTTGGTATCATCAGGTTTGTCTTGTTGAGATGATTAACTTGACCATAAACTTGTTGAGATCAAACCCCCTAAGAGATCTTGAATTTGAATCTATAACATTTATCACTTAAAAGTTCCTCGAGATTCTTGTTAAATGATAAAAATTTATTGACGACCAATTACAAACCTGTTTATTGTTTATTATAGAGAATGTTTTTGGCTGAAATAAATTGTATAATAAAATAATAAATAATAAGCAGCTATCAAGAAAATAATAAAAAAATAATTGATATAAGAATATAAAATATAAATTTTAAATATTATTAATAATTTTTCTGTAGCTTTTGATTTTCAATATTATTTTAAAATGTATTTTATATTAAATATTATCTTAAATGAGTAGGTTCGTGGGTTTGCGAGATGAGTCCAGGTTGGCCCAAATTTGAGTTGTCAGTCTGCGAGTTGACGACTTAGGGCCCGTTTAGAGCAGCTTATAAGTGCGGCGGTGTTTTTGAAAACACCGCTTAACCATTTTATTTGTGAGTTTTTGAAAACACTGTTTACCACGTTTGAGTTTTTACACTAAAAGCAGGCTGCGCATCAAGACCCGCGGACCATATTTCAGGATAAACTGTTCATCCTGAAACGCAAAAGTTGCCCCAAGCAGATATATATAAATATAATATGCTGCCGCATTTATACATGTAATTTGTATTAACTCTTTAAAAGTTAAAATCGAGATCTTTTGCACATGAATTGAAAGATTTAGGTGGTATAAATGTAACAAGCAAAGTTTAAGCATTCAATGCGATTCCCACTTTGAAAAGGAAAAGTGGGCCTCACAAATCAATTTGATTCACGCAATCTTTGAAACTCATCATCTTATTATGCGCCCAACATCAGTCCTAATCACTAATCACTGATCATTAATCACTCAATAATGATTAATCATAATCTAAACCCACCTTAAAACCTCTTAAACTCAATAGATTGCTTCAATTTAGAAAAAAAATATTTTAAATTTAAACCAAGATGATTACTTTTTAAAACTTATATTTGAATTTTGTATACATAAATACGAATATACGGGCATTTTTCACTAAACTTCTCTTGCTTAATCAAGCTCACATGCCGAAATAACTAAATCAAGCTCGATCGTCAATCGTTCCCGTCTTCTTCGAAAGAAAAGCCTAGCTCACCCATAAAATCAATACTAAGATTAAACTAATCTTAAATATCGAATCTGAAATAAATTAAATTAAATACAAATAATTAATTTAAAAAATTGAAAAAAATTATTGTATCAAGACATCTGATGCAAATTTACATTAGTGTAAGTGACAAGTGGTAACCCGTGCCCGAAAATTGTATGTTAGTAGGCCCAAAATACCACGTGACCCTATGCTATTGGACATCCGATGTAAATTTGCATCAAAAACTGAATCCAAGCGATAAGGGGTTTAAATAAGACGAGCAGACTCGAGCTCCGCTCGTTAAAAAGCTCAAGCAATGAGCCTATCGACCACGAGCACTAGTGAGTCCTGACTCAATTAGCCTATACCAAATCGTTTTGATACACTTTAAGGTGAGTTGTTACTCATCCGGGCTCCATTACCTTCTAGGGTGAGCTCATATAAGCCCGAGCTTGATAAGGGCACGACTCAAGCTCGAGCTAACCATCACAGGAACAGAAGTCGCCGGAGAACAGGAGCGAGAATCGCCGGAGCAGAAAGATGAGGAAGATGCCCCTCCGTCGGAAGTATCTCTACCGTCGTCTTCCCTCCCAGATTCTCTTTCAGATACCCAACAACTGAGAGCGGCACAGAAACATCCCTCTCCGTCTGCACGATGCAACAGGGCACCCTCACCAACCCAAGCACACCTCTTAGATCGCTGTTGAACACCGTCCTCGAAACAAACAACGATATATCCGGCCTCATATTGAACAAAGTCCGGCTAAACTCCCTCACCGCCGCCGGCACATCCGCTCCCACCGAAAGCGGCGCGAATCCCCTCACCCACGCCTCGTAGTTCGATTCCATGGCCTCCAGCAATCGCTCCATTTCGTACCGATCAAGTCCCCCGTGGTAATCCCGATCATTCAAATACCTAATTAGGGCAAAATCAGTCGATTCGATGATTAGGGTTTGGGGTGATTGGGGATTTACCGGGGCGAGGCGCCGATGAGGATGAGTTTGAGGAAGAGATCTGGGCGGCGAATGGATGCGAGGATGCCGATCATGGCGGAGATGGAGTGGCCGACGAAGAAGCAGCGGTCGATGCGGAGGGTGTCGAGGATGAGGAGGAGATCGTCTGCATATGAATCGAGAATGGTGTAGCGACGGAAATCGAAGTGGTCGGGGTTGACGCTGCCGGCGCAAGCTAGATCGCAGAGGACGATTCGGTGGTCGCGATCCAGGGAGGGGATGATTCGGTTCCATACTGATTGATCGGTGCCGAATCCGTGAGATAGAAATACCGTCTTATCCCCATCGCCGATTACTCTCACGTTGAAAATCTTCAGCAGCATGTCGCCGAACGAAAGGCCGCCGGTGCCGGCCATTTCCGATCTGCTCTGTTGTCTGGTTGGTGAGCTACGGATAAGATTTCAGTCCCTTATATGCCACTGAAGTTGGATAAGAGATAATATGATTAGAACCATAAATAATTGGTAGGTTCGAAAAATAATAAATTAAATTTTATAATTGGCTGATATTTTCGCTGTCCCTCGAAGATCAGATTGAAATAAGATTGAACCATTCGAGCCGAATTACGAGCCGAATTAAAGAATCCTGAGCGACACGAATAAAGAATAGAGCGTTGAGGGACGAGAGAGAGAGAGGAGCAATAACACGATAATCAAAAGTAAATTTGTGTGAACTTTATTCATCAAATATATCACCTATTTATTGGAATGAGTCATCATATAATTGCACACTATACTCCTAAAGTACGTAGTTACGATGGGGATATTTCAGTAATATGCTCTATGGGGCCCATGGATATGATCGGGCAGCTATTATGCTGGGCAACCATCAAACTGGGCAGATGTGAGGCCAAGCGGCCGACAGGCGGGTTAGCCATCCAACAGGGCGGATATAAGTTCGAGCTACCTTTAGGTGGGGCTACTATGTAGAAGGGCGACCATTATGTCGTGCGTATGTGAGGTTGGACGGGCGACAGCTTGCTAAGAAGAGATTGACCCCACGTTTTCTTTGACTTTTTACCTCTAATCATAAATAAAACCTTCAAAACATTTTCTTTGAAAGCATAATGTCATTGACAAATAGTCTCACATCGGCTAGGTGTAGGACCGAAAAACAGTATTTAAGTCCTCGATTGCCCACCTCTCTCAATGACTCTTTTGGAGGTGACAAGTTGTGTCAGAGCAGATTACTGCCTGCCAAGTGTGTGGACTCTCCATGGTCCAGTGAGACCCTCGGTAGAGCCGATTCGTGACGAGGGCATCACGTGATTGGGTGGAGGAGAATGTCACGGACAAATAATCTCACATCGACTAGGTGTATGGCCAAAGAATATAATTTAAGTCCTGAGCTGTTCACCACCCCTAATTGCTCTTTTGAGAGGTGACAATAAATTATCAAATAATGAATATTAAAGATGAATAAACTAATGTAACATTTATATTTAGATAAAATTTTTCTCATCACAATAAATATTTTTTTATATTATATTGTGTAAAATGGCCATGAAAAGTCAATGGTAAACGTTTTTTTCCTTCTAGAATCATAGACAACACCATTCTTTAAATATGTTTTCTAAGTTAGAATAAGAATCACAACTAAAAGCGTATGTTTATTAAGCTATTAGTTTAAATAATGATATTTCAAGTAAGATATGAAATATGTTGCTGGTATAAATATAAAAATTATAATTTAAGTGCTATATGTAAATACATAAAAAAGGGATATGTATGTAAATACCCCTTTACTTTACGCCGCCACGTGAATTTAAAGGAGAAATCGCGTCTCTTTAGAATATATACTCTTTAAATATAAGTCGGGCGAACAATTAAAACAATTTATTTCTCGGTGTTCGGCCGTCTGGACAGTCAATCATCGATAGCCACGTTGCCCTCTGATGACGTGCATGGCGACGTGACCTCCAATGGTTGGCTGTCCGGACGCAGAGTGATCAGACATAATAATTTCTCCTCGTTTACACCACAATCTAAATAAGTTCGTGAGATATAGGGTTCGTTTGGGGCAACTTATTTAGTGCAATGGTGTTTTGAAAACACACCTGGATTGTTTGGGTAAATTGCATTTTAACAGCTTATGCGTTTTAAAAACGCTGAAAGCAGTGTTTTCACATCGCACCTATTTAGGCGCGGTGATAGCTTTCTAGCAACGGTCTGATTTTTTCAGAAAAATAAAAATTTCTAATAACCACCTCACCTAGCTTATCAATAGATTATTTTTAACCAACTTATCAATAGATTATTCAATAAGCTGCAGCTACCCCAAACGGACCCATAATTTAACCAAATGAAATTAAATCTAAACATTGACATTGAGTATAACTTATTTATTATTTTGATATAATATGAAAAGTATTTTGACATACGAATATATTAAGAATAATTCATATAAGGTGTGAAGTATATTATATGCGAAATTAAAAAATATATTTAGTATAATTGATATGGTTCTACAAATGACGATATTATTCATATTAGTGGACATTAATGTTGTTGGTGACAAGGGGTAATAAAAATGTGTATCAACTTTATGATTATTTCAATTGTTAATTTATAATTAATGTGTGTCGTACAGCGGTGGGTTGAGGGGTGTAAACGAGCCGGCTCGTTTATATTTCGAGCTCAAAAAAGTGTTTTCGAGCTGTTCACGAACAACGAGTTCTTTGAACAACCCTAATCATGTCGCCATAAGACAATAAGGGTTTGAACAAAATTTAAAATTTATTATTTATATTAAAACATCATTTGAATCTAATTTAATAATTTTTATTCTGTTTTCTTAATCAGTATTTTAATTGATTATAAATCTTTGTAGCCTTGTTGTCAATTAGATTTTTTTTTTAAATACTACTTTATATATATATATATATATATACTTGATCAGTAGTATTTCGAGCCGAACACGAACGAACATATCTTAGTTCGTGTTTGACTTGTTAACTTATCGAACAAAATTAACGAGCCGAACACGAGCTGTTCGCGAACAACGAGCCGTTTTGATAGCTCTAGGTGGAGTGATGAATTATTGTCTCAACGTTACACGAAAATTGGTCTCATACTTGAGTAATTAAAGAAATGAAGGCAATAGCAGACATCTCAACTTTTATGTGGAAATCCTTGAATAAGTCCACTATAAATGGTGAGTGAGCATGTCCGCTGTTCTCCTGAAATATGAAGGATTAATTTAAAAAATTGACCTTTTTAAATATACAACAATAATTCATCGATGATAGCCGTATTCTAGCTGTAATGAATGTAGTTATTGATATTAGCAGACTGTAAGAGTCGTAGTCGACTGCTATGGAGAGAGTAGTGTTTACTTCGAATCTTGTGAATGGTGTTTGTAGAGCTCGTGTAGGCCGTGGTTGAAAGTCGTGGCGACAGATGATAGTTCCAAGAACGTCAATTGGCTACACAGGCCATAATATAAAGCTGCATAAGTTGGAGAGTCGTCTATTAACACCATGTGTCTTTTTTTAAAATCAATTTCATTAATTTTTTTCACAAAATAATTATAATTAAAATTAAATAAATATTCATTATCAAAAATTATTTTGCAGCAATATCTCTGTTTTTAATATTGACAGCTTGAGCATAATAAATTTTAGAAGAATTTAGAAAACAAATCTTGAGGCCGAGAGATTTTGTAATAAAAAATTCTCAAAATATTGAAGGCATGTATATTATTTTAAATGAGAACAAAAATTTCAATTATTAAAACAAACATGTTTAGAGTTGTCAAAATAGCTATTCGTTCGCGGACAACTCGTGCTCGCGTCGTTAAGAAGATTGTATTTGATTCATTCGCTGGGTTAACGAGCCGAACACGAAAGCTTTTTAAACGCTTGATATATAAACGAGTCAAATATGAATAAAAATTTGTTCGTTCGTGTTCGGCTCTAGAGTTGAACATGATACGCCACTAACAATATATATATGTATTGATACACCACTAACATGAATCTCGAGACACCTTTTTGAACGAAAAACATTCAAACTTCAATTAAAAGTCATCTAGAGCTTTAATTTCAGCAAACTTATAGTCAGATTGACCAACTAGATAAGACGGACCCAAAGATATCAAAATTAGTCAAATCCAAGTCAACTCGTGCCCTGATCAAGCCATCAAACCAAGTTTGAAAGTTTTTTGGACACATTTGGAAGGTCAAACGGATGTCGAATCCAACAAGTTCATAGTGGAATCGAGCGTCTCGACAAGACGAATCCAACGAGTCCAAGATTGATCAATTCTGACATCGTTAAGTCATTCAAACGTTTATTTGCTCGAATGAAGTTTTTTTGACTGTTCGATCAAGTTGTTCGTATTACTACATTGATTGCACTCATAACACTATATAGAGACCACCCCTCTCATGAGAGTGGTCAGAGACTTGAAAAATAACTTAAAGCTTTGAGAAGGAGTTGAAGTCCAGCACCACCCCTATCACCATCGATCGTCGCGGACTGACATCGGCCACTGGTGACGGGCGTCG